ATGAGATGAATGAATTGATGTAAAAAAATAAATAATTGTTAAAAAAAAAAATACATTGTAAATAATTACGTACTTTTTCTGAAAAACAATTATTTTCTTTGTACCAATTGATTTATCTCATTATTCTATACATAAAAGTATTACGGTAAAATTGAAAATTAAATATTTTACGAGATATTTCATATTTTATATCAAAATATGTCAGATGTCCCCCTTGAAGTACTGCAACTTTTATTTGAAACATTTTTTAAGATAACGCAAAGTTTCTGAGATATTTGTATGGATCTTTTAAAAAGGAACACTCTGTATAAAAAATATTTTAGAAATTTCTTGTTGATTGAACTTGGATTAAATATATTAAATTTGTTTTATAACAAATCCTTTTGCGCTTGTGTGTTTCTAAAAAACAGTTTATTTATCGAATGCGACAAAATATATATTTTCTGGATATATAAATCAATATATGTAAACGATATGATATGAGATGTTGCTGCTAGAAAAATGAGCGCGAGTAATGTAGAATGCGGAGCCACAAAAGGAGTATCGATTTCTCTCTCTTTTGTCGGACCGCAAAGTAAATTTGGTAACAACGGGTGGTCGTGAGACTCTCGAAGCGAAACGTGACGTTGCGTGCTTATTGCAACGTCATATTTCTACCGGGAGGGAGTATTTCGCGGAGATCAGGTTCCGGAGTAGGAATTGAATTTCCGCGGAAGGGAAAAGAGTTTTCAGCCATAGAGGATATGAATGTCTTGCGCGCGAGGCATCTTGGATCATCTCGACAAACTCCATATGCATTATGCAGAAACATCCTGTTATTGCGCATGTACACCAACTTATTACGCGCAACGTGGGTTTGTATTGCGTTACGTGCTCTACACGAACAACAATCTATTCATTTCGTCAATTACACATATTACCGAATTATTAGCAATCTAATATTCGTTGATGTTACTTGATAATGTTACTTAATATTAACTTGATTATTTCAAATATAATTCGTAAATTTTCAGAACAAATAATAGTTTCCTCCGTCAAGGATACTTTATCGTAATAATTAATCTTGATATATAAGAATATGATAATATTTGAGAATTAAAGCAAACTAAGCCAATGCATTGTCTGCTGCCGTGTAAAACTAACAAGAGTAATTTATTAGGATGAATTAAACGCACTAATTTACGCTTCTGGGATCGTTCGCTTCTAAGCTGCGACGATCCATTAACACTGCACGGCGCGCGTAATTTGTATTCGCCTAACTATCGGGCTAAGCGACGAGGAGAACGGATGTTCTTCAAGCGGATACTCCGAGCGCGCAGACGGGGGAAGATACGCAAGGGTTCGATCAGGGTCAGGAGCCAAGGTAAACACATTAGGGATACAACATCCCAGTATAGGAGACACTTGCCGCCGATGGGGAAACTCCGCGCGTATGGCCGACTACAACGGAAATTCGAACGTCTCGCGGATCGCCGGAGATGAAAAAAGTCGTGCCGAGTCGATATATACCCTGAAAACTAATCTCCTGCGCTCGGATCTTGTTTCCCCCGATCGTCGTTTCCACTCGTTTACCCCTTCGTCGATAACGTGCACACATGCTTCTTTGCCAGCGGATCGTGGTCTATGGTATTTACGCGCGTTTCAGATACTCGGCCCACCCTTCGTTTAACTTTGCCAATTCTGTCGCGGATTTGTGATTCCTCGAATGTGTCTTTTACTTCGCGATACTTTGCCAAGAGATTTAGTGTTTTATTTGTCGTAATGTAATGATGATACTAACGTAATATTTTTTTATGTCCGCCTTAAAGACGATATGCGATCGCGATAAAAGTCGGCTCAAGATTTTATATTTCATGTAATACAGAAAAAAACATTGAAAGAAATAAGATACACGCATATACAAAATACACATGTCAGGATACGCACATATATTAAAATATACGACACATAAAATTGTAAATAGATTTCGGTTGAATTTTTTCGCGAGCTACAAATCGTCCAAAGTGAGCTGGTTTTATTCTCGTAAGAGATTTTATTGAACATATTTCTGATTGAGAAATTCAATATCCTCGTAGAAAATATTATATATATTTCTCATAAAATTCTGTGCGTTTTTTAGAAAATTTTTTTTAGTTTTTTTTTTTTTTTTTTTTTTTTTGATAAACATAACACTTGTGAGAATTAAATATAATAATATCACAGAAGACGTTAAAAAAATATGTTATTCTATATTAACGCGCATTCCTATATTAGCGATATGAATAAGTAATCGCGCGTGCGTTACAAAAACGTAGTTCCTCGGAATGATCATAAAAAGGCAGTGTCATAAAAAATGTAATGCTTCTACTAGGCTTTCGTCATAAAAAACACACGTCTAGGACTTAGTTTTTATCGGTGACGGTAGTAACCCTTATTCCTATGAGACAAACGATCACCTTGGGAGTACCGTCCGGGAATCACACGATAGCTCTCGTCTTATTTTTCGCTTTTCCAGCATGAAGTCAATCTAATGAAAGAGCTAAAAGCGGATGAGAAATCGGAAATTAAATATATAAGAGTTCTATAGAAGCCTTCTCTCTCTCTCTCTCTCTCTCTTTCTCTTTTTTCTGTAGACTTGAAGTAATCAACCCGATTCAATTTTGAGATGCATATATCGATATATACGTGATGGACGGCGAAGTTGATGGACATACAATATTTACCTCCGACGTTTGCTCATTAAAGCTCTCTCGCGGCATTTACATCCAATTATTCGGTTATGGTCATGCACCAACGCAATTAAAATATAATAGATAACATTATTATAAAGATGAAATTTTATGCAGAAGCGTGTGTGTGTATCATCCTTCGCGTATAGAGAATCGCGACTTTACGGATATAATATTGAATATATGTAAAAATATCGATTATTCTTTTTTCTAATCATGGGGATAATTGTTCGAAAGATGCTTTCAATGACGGTTCGCGTGCGCAAAATTAGTACGAATTACTAGCGTTGCATACGCAGTTACGTACAAAACGATCGTTTCTGTTCAAGTGACACCGCGACGTGGCTTCAACAGCTGGACTGATCATGTACGCTAATTATGTACTTGTCCGTCACTCGTCTATCGACGAATCACTACGAAACGAGAGGATTGTGAGATACAGCTGGAAGGGCAGCGCGCGATTTGTCGCGTATCGAAATGCCGATTTGCGATCAATAAATTAGCGCGAGCGGCTCGTTTACAAGCTTTCAAAGCGCTGCTCCTCCCGCGTCGAGTATGCACTTTGATGTATCGCGCTTGCTTTTGTGACGGAGAAGTTCAATCCGCACTCATTGCCCTTCCGACAGAAAGTTTGTTTATTTCGCTATTTGCGATTCTCTTGGACATTCAAATATCATTATTGTGACGATTATCCGGGAACGATAGTAGGAATACTATACGCTCAAGCGCCATCATCTCTGTGCAACCTTTGTGTAGTCTATAATATAAAGGATTTAATTATTGAACGATAACGAAAAAGGGAATGCAATATCTAGGATCACTCGATGTACGTGTACTGTAACAATGAGATAAAATGATTGTAGTATATTCAGTGATAAACTTTGATCTTGGATGAAGTTTGAAACGATAAAAGGTGGCAAAGTTTATTGACATATAATAACGTCTGTGTCTGTGATATTTAAAATATGTTTTGATTTTGATAACGTAAAATAAAGAGATAAATCAAGAGAGAACGGGAAGAAAAGAATAATTGTTATGTATATGTTTCGTGTTAATATTTAGCATGTTTAATATTAATTATAGTTAATTGAAGGTAAGATATATATTTGTATATGTTGTGTGACAAATTATCGCGATGATTAATTTTTGCCAAGCAATATATTGTAAAGTTGAAAATTTAAGAGAAAGCGATAAAATCATGATGGCCGTTAGTCTTTACGGACAACAACGTTGTGATTTATGGCCCTCGGTATCGCCACGGGATCGATCTTGAATAAAAGAGAACGCCTTATGAAAAATATCTCGGCGTAATATGTAGTAATCGATATGCGCGAGTCAATTCTCTTTAGCAAAAATTTTTAGCTTTAATCTTATATACGCAGAAGAAATAATATTACATTCGATATCGAAAGATTAATTGAGACACAATTAATTAAGGATTAATTAATTATCGCGCAAACGATATGCAGTAAATTTAATAAAATATTATATCAAATAATAGGCAAACTATTTATTTTTATTTCGAGACATTATAATCAAGTTATGATACGTTTGTGATACTAATTAATAAATAGAGTGGAAAATTATACTTAAATTCCGGATTTATTTATCGAGTTCTAAAACTGAGAGATAAGCATGTAAACTACGCAAGTAAATAGCTTCGTTTAAGTCGTCTTTTTGAAAGAAACCCTGCGTGCAAAAACACGTAAGATAAATACGTTTCATCCAGTGGGAAACCGATTTGCGAGTTGATGAATATCGGCCTTGGGAGTAATTAAAGTTTGCTGCTTTGTGTTCAGCGTTTATCGTGGACGAATGTAATTGGCCTATCAAAGGAAAAGAAATTAACTCCGGCAGGATACGTACGTATACATTCATTACAGTGTAAGAAACGTATTTCTCTCGGCTATTTAACTTAAAGAGAGAGAGAGAGAGAGAGCGTAACAAGAAATGAATTACGCATAAATGCAATTAAAAATATGATTATAACAAAATGGGATGAGGTTTGTTATGGTTGGCAGCCAAAAAGTGTCGCAGAATCATATCTTTGCATATCGCCAACATATCGTGTATATTTTTATAATAATATGCAACGAAAAGATGATACATTATTAATTATTATTTTAATTTTATTGTTCTATTGTTGATTGCAAGTTGTAATACATAGCGATGGCACACTGTGTGTACGTTTTACGTAATCGAATCCGATTATTTGAAGCACGAATATTTGACCTGACCTACACGTTCACGTGGACATGGATAAAATAGAAATTGCGTGTAATCATACTTTACCGGCACTCTCCGCGGAGATCCTTCTTACCCTCCATCTTATCACACGACAGGGCAACTGTTATCGATTTATGGTGACACTAGGTATATATCAGAGGTGGAAATATCGGTGGCAATGCCACTCGACAATCGTATCCTGATCTATCGGGTGAGATTGGTCGAAAAAAAAGAAAAGAAAGTATCGCGCGTTACGAGAGCACTCGCGATGCAAAGCGGAAGCGCGAGAGGAGTCAGATAGATAAACAAATCGATAGACAGATAGATACATGGACAGACATATAAATAGACGGACACATATAGATAGAATAGTATCTATATATATATGTGGAGAGAGAGAGAGAGAGAGGCTCATGTATCCGCGTGAACCATACCGTTACCGTCGACGGTGGTGATGCGTGGTGCACGGGGATGCGCGCGCGCGCGTGCGCGCGCGTGTGTGTGTATATGTGTGCGTGTGTGGGTGACCTAATTTTTGCAAAACAGCCGGGGCTGCGGATCCGCCGCCGGTCCGCGGACTACTAGTAGCGGCGCTGGTGGTAGTCGTGGTGGTAGTCGGTAGCACAGGATGCCCGCTTTCCCCTCCACGCTACTGTCCATCGCAGTTCAGGCACACGGAAAATCCGCGTCGCTTTTCCGGATGCTACGGCACTGTGCCGCGGCGTCGCCGCCGGTGAGAGAGAGAACCCTTTCGTCAGTTGGGTCTCGGCCGCCGTCAACGTCAATACGACGAGGGCGCACGAGAGTAACATCGTCGCCTCGGCTCCGGTTAGCGCCGAGGTCGCACACACTCGGCGTTCGTCGACGGGAGGAACGCGAGGAACCTGGCCATTCGGCGCTACGTGTGTATCTTTTCCCCGATCGTATCTTGCCGATATTTTCTTATCATTTTCATTTTTTTTTCCGACGTACACTCCATCTGATCTCTTTGTCTTCTCTCTTTCTCTCTTCTCTCTCTCTCTCTCATCTTTTTTCTCTCTTTCTCCTCCTTTCTCTCTATCTTCCTTCATGCTCTTCGATACCTTCGCGTCCCGATATCAGTCGACCGGTGCAACGGTACTGCGTTTATGTGCATCGTGAGTGGCACCGATAGTGGATAATGAGAGATAGTGGAGGACCCATCAATCGGGTGTGATCGGGTAAAAGGCTAGAATTGCGTGCTCGATGCAGTGTATGCAACCGGCGAGGGTACGGCCGGTGGTTGCTGTTTCTTACGATCCTCATGGGAGTGCCCGCGAGTTCTGTCTCCGAGTGCGACGGCGGCGGCGAACACGCCGGATGTGAATAATAGAAGAGAGAGAATGCTCGACGTTATTAGGTAGTATCGACGCTACTCGCTTGCCCGCCGGGAGGGAGAGATGGATGCACGGCGTTTATCGAGGCTCGCAACATTTGTTTATACATCGTCACTTTTTGTGCAAATTCACGTGCCATTGTTGTAACAACTCGTATGTACGCTATCGCGAATTTTCGAGCGGACAATTAGATTTTTCGCTTTGTGATAATTGATTGGGAAAATTTTCGCCCGTTTTTTTCGTTCGACTAGCACGAGGGAGAATTTAATTACGCAAATCTATATCGCTCGCGTTTGCTTTTGAAAGAAAGAACAAAAGGAATGCGCGGAGGAACGTGTGGGAGGTTCTCCTTCTTTTTTTTTTTTTTTTTTTTTTTGGATACTGTTGTGTGCGTTATAAGCTCGATGAATAACTTTTCTGGTTCACCTGATGAAAGAATGTTGATTTTTCGTTTTTGCAAAATTATCTCTATCTCTTTTGTAATCTTTGTGCATTATCATGTGAACGTTAGAGCAATTAAACATTTTCCCGCGTCTGTGATAAGTGGCACGAGAACGCGCTGCGATATTTGACTTTTTCCCGAACAATGAAGAGGAATTGAATCAAACAACGAGCTGATTTATTGGTCGTTTGATTTCAAAGAGAGTACAAAAGAACGAGAAAGAATGAGATTAAATCTTATTTGTTTTTAAATTCCCGTTTTTAAATTCTCGAATGATAAACTATGTTTTATCCTTAATGTATCTCAAATCAAAGACTTTTTATCATTTCTTGATTGAAAATGTGTAGAAATACACATTTAGCGGTGTTTATTTTTTTATTTAGTTATGGATTTTTTTTATTTGATTGTCAATCAATATCTCTTTCCATTTCTCGATATTACGAAATAAATGATAATTAATATATTTAAAATTTTTTTTTAAATTCTGTTTTTTTTTTAAATTTGTACGGTGCAAAATATTTAACGAAAAAGACATTGATCGCATTTCGAAATCGATTTTTCTTACTTTATGCATGACATGAGATTTCATTTAGAGAAAAAGCGGGACACCCTTGGAAATCTATTCAAAGATTTATTTGGAGAATCAATTACTCTCTAATGGACATTGTGGTGACCTTGTTAACGGAACTGTGAATCCTTTAGCAATTTTTTTAATTTAGTAAAAGAAATTACTCGCATAACAATTCTTAAGATACAACAGAAAAAGTGCTGTAATAGCCTTCGTGCTTGAAAAGTCAGATAAATGGTCGGTCGTATCCTTTTTCACAATAATTTTTCATACGCGTCCCGAGTTTTTCATTTCGAAGCGAAATTAACGGGACGCACGCTGTTGCATTACCGTAACTTTCAAGCAATAAACAAATTTATTTTGCAAATACGCTTTCTCTTGAAACGCAGATGACACGCTGAAATATTATCACTCGCTTTTATATATTGCCGAACATATTTTACGTAAAACTATTGGTAAATTTTTGAACGTTGTACATTCCTTTTTTAACACCAAGTTTTGCGCGTTTATATCGACATTCAGAATAATTAAAAACGAGGAATTTGAAAGACAATGCTAGAATATTTTTAATGAATTATTTGCATTAATTAAATTATTGAAATACGATATATTTATTATTATAACGAAACCGCTATTATGACTATAAAATCATAAAGATGTGATTGACAATCAATTGCCACGAGACCCGCAATTATAAATTATGATATAAACTCGATTTTCTCTCCTATCGATTTTCTCATCTAGCAGTTCGTCCTCACTCCCGATATACGATGGACAAGTTTTCTTACGTGTTGTCACTCTTGAACTTTTTACGAAAGCACCGGAAACATTTTCAACTTTTTCGTGGAACCATTATCTTTCCATTCGCTGAAACACACTCGCAATATGATAACGTCGCGAGTAGATGAATTATTTCTGGATTCGCAAAACTTTTATATTCTATTATAATCTAAAGTTTTTAACTGATTGTAACAATAAAGAATTAAACACACGGGCGTATCTACTTTATTCGGTTTTTATTCGGTATTTAAGTGTTCAGAAGTGCGACAGCGCGTCTATAATTTTGTTGTGTTAAATATCATATATATAATCGTTCCATTATAATTAATAATTTAAACGGATAAAAGCTGTTGTTTTTGCTCATTTAAAATTTTCATAAGCACATAATTGTGTCTTTTTCTTGCGCGTTTTTTTTTTTTTCCCTATATTTCTCCTTCTCTTTCTATTAAATTTATTCAAGTTTATTCATCTACTCTATCATCCTTAGAGTGTTCTTTGTCGCCTGTCTGCGAAACAAGAATGCCGCTTTTCCACGCATCCGTGTATGCATCATGTTTCTGTTCTACCGCGGTGAGATTTGCGACTCGATTGTCTGCGAAATTGAATATTCTTCTCACTTCAGTAGCATAATAGGTGTTTCGCCATAGAAATCTTATCCAACGCGAGAAACGTATACAAATAGGTACGACGTGCATTTTAAAATGTGGGGGATTGGAATTACGAAATTTTTGTATCTAAAAGGGAGATATATATGCAAATGTTATTAATAATAATTAACACATAACAAATTGAAATATACAAATAAAATCGCACACAGCCTGCGGCAGCGTATAACGATGACAGAATTCTATCAATTTTTAATTTTGCGAAGGACGGCTATTGTTACTTGTACTTTTACATAGAATGTACGATATCGACAGGCTGCAAATGAAACAGTCGCAAGTGAAACAAACGTACGTACGTACGTTCGATCACGTCCGTCAAGCCTGCGGATGCAGCGAGATGATAGAGGCCGGATCTCGCCGAGCGCACCTGTTGTAAAATTGCAACGTGCGTGCAGTCGTTATTGCGCAAGTTTCGCCGGGATCTGGAGAAGTTATACATTTAATCATGTTTTATTTTCCTTTTTATAAAACTCCACGAACAGAGTTTCAATCCGTGCGCTTTCCGAGTTGGAAATATTTCTCGTATGATTTTGTTTCGTGACTCGGAATGGTTAAATTTTTGAGCACACGAAAATTAATATGGATTCTTTTCGTGATACTACCGGACGGATGTGCGTGCGGCATAAGTATACCGATTCGAGTGTTCCAGTGACATGAATCACTTGTAATATAACATCGTATATTTTAAATCCGTATTTTTTCGAGTCTTTTATGGTCGAGAAAAGTCGTCAAAATTCTAACGATATTATAGAACTGATGCGTTGTAATAAAATTCCTTTAATTATTGTAAATTATTGCCGAGAAACTCATTTTTATTAAACATCTGCACATAAGCATTTAAAACGGACGATTTTTTATCATAATTACAACAATGGCACGCAATATAATTTCGGCTATTAGCTTGATTAAAGAGATTTTTAAAGCTAGGATAAACATCATACATTCGAAATGTATTATTTTCTGCTAGTAATCATAGACGACTATATATATATATATTGTCACATATTGAAATATCTATTATTTTAATAGAGTTTATACATTAAATCGCTTGCAAATCGTTCGACTGACATTAAACTTCTAGAGCATGAACTTTTTAACCGGTACACGCTTGGAACGATATTTAGCGATGGTTATCTTAAAGACACAAGTCCACTTATCGGCAATCCAAGCTTGATACAATTTTTATTTGGTCGTAATCAAATTTTTAAAACCCATCGTGATTTATTTCTCAAACTCGCCGAACGGAAACGCGTCACCGAGAGATTCGATAATAGTTACAAACGTATCAGAAATATAACCTGTATAAGAGAGGAAAACGCTGTTGTCGACAGATAAATGTCAATTTAAAGCTTGGGGAGACGAGACAAGAAGGATGGTCTTGTTCGCAAACACCGGCTGCAATAAATGCATCCTTGTTAGTCGAAACAAGTGTCACGCAACGCCACATAGTTGCGTCTACGTCGCCGCGATTATTCTTGAAAGGATAAACGTAAAGCTTAACAAGCTGTTAAATTCAATTTACATTTCCGAGCAGTTGTGTAGTTTATTTGGCCCATTTAATAGTTACATAATATTATACAATAATAAATATATATTTAATGCGCGCGCGTGCAGTGATAATAGTCTCATTTAATTTAATCAATATTTTTAATAAACATTATTCTTTTTTCTATTCTGTTTTAATTGTATATCGCGCACAATAATTTTTCTTCGAATATTTTGGATTTCTGATTGTTTAAATTAGAAATGATTATGCTCGTGAAAGTTGGATGATTGAATTTAAACGTTCGAATGGTGTTAACCGAAAGGAAAATATAAATGTTTATCTGAAAAACATTAATCCGATTAAATTTGAAAGGTCGACTTCGAAAATATTTGCGATATCGACACTTTTGTTACCGCACAATCCGAGCGCATACTATTAATAATCCGTATATTGATTTACCTGAATCTATTCATAAGCGTTGATAACCTATCCTGCCACGCATATAGTTCGCCTCAATATTACGTGTTATCCGCGATCGTTTACCCATTATTGAAAAATTCTCTTCAGTCGATTCTCTAAATAGGTTCGCATAATCAACCGCGTCGTGTTATTTTAGAATTCTATTACTTTGCGCGTTCAGCGATATATTTTATTTTATATTTTTTTTTGCATAAATTTTAATTATTTAGATTTAGATTACCTTAGTTCTCTTATCACATGAATTGTTTTTTTTTTCGACTTTTTTACTGGGTATTAGAATTATCTTAATTTTTTTAATATATTTTATTATTTATTTAATTTCAATTTTTTAAATTCCCTGATAGTATTTTTGGTAAAATTGTAAAGAGTTTGCTATATAATAGTTTATAAAATTACATAAGGGATAAGAAAATAAATGAAAGATATAATTGAAAGAAAAAGAGCTCTAATTTAGCAGTTTTGGTAATACAATACATGATCTTGCTTGAAGTATCAACAAAGCGATTACAGATATTCAAGATGCTAGTGCTGGCGATTCAAGATTTCTGTAGATGAACTTGGCATAATGGTCGTAAACGTACCGTGCATGCGCATTGGCGCGTCGATAATTGGTAACAATAGATTCATTTGTAATACATTGATGCTGTGGAAACGAGAAAGCAACATGTGAAAGAAAATATTCTGCTTATTTATTCTTTTATTCTCTTCATTAATACCGTAAAATATTACTTCATAGCATTGTCTGATTAAATTAAATATTTTTTGAATTTTTTTGTTTGGAAAGTTTAATGAAGTATTTAATATTATTGTTACGCGTACAATTATTATTTGATGAAATTATTTCTATTTATGCATGTGAAAATTGAAAGTAGGTCGCAATATCTAAAATTATTTATTTGTGTTACGCCTTTTTTTTTGCTACGAGTTTTTATAGCAAGTAAAATAATAGTTCATCAACGTTTTGTTTCAAAACGCGTGATTTGTGATGAATTGAAGAAATATAGAAATGAAAACCAAATACAGTATATTTTGATCACTTTCAGGATACATACGTGCATTTTGTAGCTTGCGGTCCTTTGTACGAGATATAATGATTTATGTTCAATTATTTCTCGCCAAATAAACGTTAATGTAAATATATATCGCGGCTTACTCGCATTCTCTCCCGAACTATTGTTATCGGATTCTGTTATTGCATTATATTTCATACGCAAAACACAACAAACACATTTCAATCTGTATAATATTTCATATAAGTTTTTTAAATATCCTGATTTAATCTTAATTTATATATACAATTTATCAAACAAAATATTTTCCCGTAAATTTAAGGCATTTATTATATCATTAAAAATGTATATTTTTCGAATCATCTATTGCAACGATTATTTATATCGGCACACGAGAAAATATAATTATCAGAGCATATTTTATGAAACACAACGAATTTCCAACGTTATCGTGGCAATCTTAATTTAAACGGATCGACTGCGAGTTTCAAGTTTGTCTATCTTCTAGGCAATTTTATAACTTAATGGTTTAGTAAAAATTCTGGTAGATTGCGGGAAAATCACAATTCTCGACTTAGAGATGTTGACGTCTCGTACTTGATTACAGTAAGCGTCTAAAAGCTCGCTTATTTTTTTCTTGCTCAGAAATACTGGAAAGACGCAAGAATAAATTGCGCAAGAAATTTGCGTTCAAATTTTATGAACTTGCTGAGATTTTTTTCATAAAATGTAATATTAGCGGAAATAAAATAATAACAGAGATGGAATAAAAAAGCAAAATGGAAATAATAAATTATTTTAATCATCTTTTCCAATTATTTTTAATGATACAAAATAATGATTGCTTATCTTATTAATATTAATTAAAAAATATATATATTAATAAATTTGGCATAGTTGAGTTAAAGCCGAGATCTTTATAGTTCACACTTCAATTAAATAGAGTGCACGGAATATTTCAGACTGTATATTAAATTAAATTAATTTAATGAAGCGCAAAGCCAATTAACAATTTCAATTTCCGTTACTCGATGAAATTGCGATTGTTTTGCAACTTTGCAATTTAGACGGGATGTTTATTATTTCGTCGGTGTCAGCCATTTCTGTATTTCTGCTGCTCGATGCAGCTGCGTGGTAGCGATATATTCTCGGGAGGGGAATATAATTTACAATTTCTGAAGATGCTTTTATCTCTAGTATTCCGCGATTAAAGCTTTATAATCGTTGACTATCAACATTTCCGATATTATCGATTTTCTTCTTAATTCTTTTTTTCATTTGCTATTTATTTTTATTATATATTACAGAGTTGCATAGTAGATATTTATTACATAAGTATAAAAAGTTGTATAATTAAATAGTAGTCGATGTCTAATTAAAAATTTTATCAGATATTTCGGTGATTTTTTTTTTAAATAATACATTAAGAAATATAGAATGAATGATTTTAATTTATTATTAAGTACCTACACTTGCATTTATATATCTGATGACATTAATATGTGATTATATTTGAGTCACATACTGATTAAGCGTGAAATTATATTGCAATTGCGGCTGGGGGAGTTACAGCGGGAGTTTCAAGGATATTTTGCATGATTATAATTCCCGAGCCTTAAATTACTAATGCCCTTCATTTGCTGTGTTCGTTATATATGCAACATATTCCATTTAGATCTTTTGTTCGATCTAATCCGTCTACAGCCGTTTTACAAATTCCATTACTTCAAGTTAAAGTACTCTGTGTACAGGATTTATAGCTGAGAGAAAATGTGCAACGACATTAAAACGCATTGCTTGTAGCGATCGATCTCATTCATTTAACATACATGTGTAAAGTAAAGCTCAATAGTATAAATCGCACGACGAGATGCGCACTTCTTTTAACGCTTATTTTTTATCGGAATTATCAAAACTCATCAATTTAACAATTATAAAAATGTTGTATATGATAAAATTTTTAATTGGGCATCGACTACTATTAAATTATACAAATAAAAGCCGTCAAAAATAATGTCAGATTTTTCTTTACACGCAATGAGAATATTAAAATGAAAAAATTGCTTATTTTATTGTTCTTACCTTTTAAAATGAAAAACATACGTAATCGATATTTTTATCGTCACGCCGAAATAATCTCGTGATCTTTATTATTGTGCCCGCGACCGCTATTATAGAGCATAAATATCATGCGACCGGCGATTAAAAATAACGTCGACATAAATACGCGCATGTTGTTCATCGATTCGTCAGCGAATTCATCGAACGCATTTCTCGCCAGGTATGAAACACCATAGATGCGCCACTATTCGAGAAACGCAATTGGGTCTTGTGTTGCGTGCTCGTCTTTTCGTTTTGCATAGCCTTCTCAAGGGAGTCACAGCCTTAACCTTTGCATTTAATTTACGACCTAGTGTATCCTGACTAAAGAAAATCCTTGATAAAGTATCATTATTGAGATTAAGTGCACGCGCGTGCGATGCAACCTCTTAATTATAACGATCTTCTGATTGCGCGCGGAAAATTTAAACGATAACGGTGGCCTATCTTAAAATCGAACAACACAAAAGAAAGTGTGAATTAATATCTTAATACATTTAACATTAATTTTCTTTTCTTTTAATTGCTATTCTAATATAAATATTGCGACAGTGGACGAAAAAAATTAATATCTCAACGTAAATATTTTCAATATGTGGCATATATATTATATGTTGATCTTGTTAAAAAAACATACGCGAAATGTATATATAATTTTTATATAACGTTTGTTTTTGCATATCTCTCGCGTGCATCTCTCTCTTCCCGATTATATCAAAATAACTATTTATATCATTATACAAAATGAGTATTTTCTCCGAACATCTCATAGATCTTATCCGAAATTTTTTACAGAGCGTCGGCCCAATGTATAATAATTCTACGAGACTTATGTATGAACGCATACTTCTCAACGATCGACAATCAATTTCGTGTTCTGTCCTGTATCATCGCACCAAGAGCTTCATATTCTTCGTTACCGGAAATCATCTAACACGTTAAATTGCATTCAGCTGAGCTTCATCCTCGTACAAAGTAAAGAGATATTTTCTAGAATTCGTAAAATGAAATGCATAATTTGATGTATGTGTAATTACAAAGGTGAAAGCGTGTAAATGTATCGCGAATGCATGTGTAATCGAATAACGTTATCCGGACGAGTGCAAATTAAACTCTTATTCGTGTCAGCTGATCGTGATGCGTGATTGAGCGCAAAAGTCGACAATAACAAAATTTCGTTCTCTCGCCAACTTTTTTCGCACTGATTCTGGTTCGGGTTATCGTACAAATATCAAAATGGAAAATCTGTGCATAAAAGTGCATTTGATCCGACAGTTACGTGACGCAGAAAATTACTCGTGTTTGTTGACTGTGGATAGAAACTACTAAAATCTTTTGCGATGCATCGTGTGTTTTTAGCCACCTGAGAAATGTGGGTAGGAACGATTTAACGAGAGTGATTAGAACTTATCGATGTTACGTTAACCGAAAGAGCAATGTGGTAATGAAGAATTCGAAATAAATATTGACACTGTAAATAAACTGCTCTAATTGATTTTATAATTTAATGTTTACTATATGAAAAATTGATTGAAAGAATTTCTGACGATTCCGACTTCGCGATTCGCTATATCAAAACTATTTTGCATGATAACATCTGTTCGATACGATATAAAGAAACTACGATCACGCTGATTGAAATACAGATATAAAGAAGCAAATTGTCGGTGTGATCGTATAGCTAGCATAATTTTATATATCATTATTATACACAAGAAGGAAAATACAATCGATAATAATACAGTAGATTCAACAAGTAATAATAGATAAAAATAGATTCTAAAAATTCATGAAGAGAAAAATGACTTAACGATGAGGGAATCTCTATATGAAAATGTGGTCAGCATTATCTAAATTATATTACAAAGAGTTTGCGGAAGAATATGCAAATGCTTAGTTGCTAGCTTAGCTGCAATTTTTCGTCTTAGAGTTTACCAAGTCGTGTTAAGTATCCGACGAGTACGAGACAAATTAAGAGCGACGAGAGAACTTGTTAGGTTAGACATGCTCAGTTTATACCTCGTTATACTTGGAGTTACTTTGGACCTAAAATAGACGAGTGGAAGTGTGCGTGAATGTCGTGGAGATGAGGAAATAAGGAAATAAAGACGTAAAAATTCGTGCGCGAGAACAGCATTATTAGTTTTGACTTTCTTATACGGAGGATATAAATACGAGAGGAATCTAAAATTATTCTATAGTATTTGGGATATTTAGTGAAGGTATTAAAAATATATGAAGCCAAATTTTCGTGAGACTAATGCACTAATAAAAAGGACCGATCTTTGTAAGACGCGATAATATTAATTTGACGACACAGATTAAACACATATCATAAGTGTAAATCAAGAGTGTCAAGAGAGGATGAGGGAATTTATGACATGCGAGGCAAGGATTTGAAAGCAGACATTTTCCATTAATCATTTTCTGGGATAAAGGGCAAAGTTGCTTGTGGTTAGCAGCCTCGGGCAACGTTCAAAATTTCCTTATTTAAGGACTGAGGGGCATAGATGAAAAAGCTGCGGATACATTTAATCATGTGGGCAAGAGGACAGGAAGGCGAAGAGTGACAGAAGATAACAAACAAAGTCAACAGTGACATCAAACAAAGTGTTAAAGCAAAGGGCAACGTGCTGATAATTGTTTCATTAATCTATGTTGCTATTACGAGATGATATACAACAATGAACTCTGTGAAAGGATCAACATCGAGAGCAAAGATAAAATTTGATAAACTGGGATGTTCGTTGAAAAACGGGAGATTTAAAGATTTCTCGATATTTAGAAACAGGGGAGATTTAAAGATTCCTCAATATTTAAGAACACGATTTGTGAATGATCTACATGAATCATGCTGATATAAGAAATAATAAATAACAAATAAATCCTTTAGAAAAAAAGTACAATTTTTCCGGAAGCAATGATGGACGATTTTTTAAGCTTCGTGTTCTTAATTTCTTGAAATAACGGAGTGTGCGACAGGAAAATTGTCATGGTATCTAAAAGGTAAATCTATGTATCAAGACGACCTAAGTATGATGCCAAGCGTAATTTGAATATGAATTTGTTTAATGTGTACAATGTTAAATGTATCATGATGGAAATTTTAATAGCTTTTCGATATTCAGTTGATCCATCGTGTAAATTTGATTGCCAGCATACACAGATAGAGACAATTTCCCGATAATTGCCGAAGTAAACCGTTCTATGAGACAGAAAAAAAAAACTGAAACAAGGAAGAAATTAACATTGTGTATATTTTTCATGTTGAAGTTCTATCACGCAATTGTGGAATATCTGATAATGAGAGACAGAGAGAAATATATGCTTCCTTATTAGCATTATTTTTAACAGATAAAGCGTATGAAAGATATATATTTATGTGAAACTTCGAAAATCATGTACCTTGTGCAAACATTGCAACATATCCTAATCATTGCAAGCGAAACAAGCGAGAATAACCAAAAGCAAAATGTACAACTAAATCCGTTCAAAGAAAAAAAACGAAAGTCTGGCAAGGACAATCTTTTACGTATTTAAATTTATACTGACGTAAGATACACACTTTGCAAAGAGCAAATTGAACATATGAATTTCACCTGACGCATCATGAAAAAATTATGAAGAAAGAAAGAAGATGATGCAACTTGCGATGCATTTCAAGTGTAAACATAAGACAAACGAGGAGTAATTGACTGTTGCGGAAAAATTGTATCAACTATCCGAATTTCGCTCATTGTTTGCACGGATGCTACAAACTTCCGGAGCACTTCAGCAAGTGCATTAGAAGTTATTGTTGTACTCGAGCGACGAATATTATTCACTCGCTTGAATCTGGGAGCTGCGAAACTCCCAGCGAGTACGTCGATCAGCGTCGCGGACACTGCCTCTGCTAGGACAGAACAACCTGGCTGCAGCTGGCCCCCCTAAATGTTTTGACATTGAGTGCGTTAGGGTGCCGAGGTGGGGGGCGCGTGGTCTTGCTGCCTGCCGTGCGCCGGCGGCGGCGGGGGTGGGGGTGGTGTCGCTGTCTCGGGGACCACCCTCGAGGCCAAGAAGAGTTCTGCTCTGCTAAAGCAGTATCAACAGCCCCACCAGCAGCAGAAGGGCCAGCAGCACGAAAGTCATCATACGCAGCAAAAAAATACGCATCAGGAGCAGCAGCAGCAGCCGAAACGTATCTGCGTGGCTCAGATTAAGGAGCGAGCGCCTCTCAGCGATCTCGACGAGGATTTGGACGACGACGACGACGATGATCTCGACGACGAGGAGAAGGAGTGCGAGTTGAGGATATACGAGGAGGAAGATTACGGAAGGGAAAGTGGCACTCAGCACCGGCTTAGCCCGCGGCTGCACGACATCGAGGAGGAGGACGATGAGGAGGGTCGTCACGTCCGAGAGAGGTCAGTTGCTAATCTAGTTTCGAGGGTTTTTTTTTTTTTCGATCTAGTCTGCGCTAAGCGTTTCGGCATTGAGTTTATTATCGTCTCGTCCCGATCATTATTTCTTCATTAAGGATGTTTACGTTGTACGATATTCAGCGTGATTTTCATCGACTATCAAAACCTATTAAAATCACAGTGCATGAATTTATTTAATCGATTTAGGTAAATTTAATAGACATTAAAGTTTAACGAAAATTAGCATTGAGTAGTGCGTTCAAACGTGATTAAAGATAATTTTCGCTCACGTTTAATTTTTACTTATTTGTTTTCTCCGCTAAACGCGTTCGATTATTATCTAATTGGCGCATAATTATTGGTTTATAGATTATTGATTTTTTAACGGTATTTTGTGTCGTTAATTGTTGCATATGTTGTTAATTGTTGTCTCATTATCGCAAATATATCGTGTGATGTAAACAAGACTTTAAGTAGCAATTGTCGATTTAATTAAATATTTTGCTATGAGATAGAATGCGTTAAATTTCGCGATTAATTAATGAGGCTTTTCTCTATGATTGCAATTAACTGTTCGCGGTACGTATATGCGCGTAATTCATGCATTATTATATATGGTTATGTAACATATTAATATTATTAAGTATTTCACGTACTCAATATAACATATTCATCTTGTAAATTCCCGCGGTTAAATTTGTTCGCGTATTTAAACATGGATAATTCTAGAGGGGAAAACTTTTGCGGTATCTATTTACAATCAACTACAAATTGCTTGCATACGGAAAAGGTCTCTCTTTAAGGGGACATACCCGTTTGAAATCTCGAAAAATGAGTACATTTTTTAGATTTTTTTTGCAGAGCAACGACTTGATAAAAATTTTCAATTTTGTTACAGTATTAATACGATATTATTAACCACTTAAACAAAAATTGTCAGTTTAGTTATGTAACATATTAATATTATTAAGTATTTCACGTACTCAATATAACATATTCATCTTGTAAATTCCCGCGGTTAAATTTGTTCGCGTATTTAAACATGGATAATTCTAGAGGGGAAAACTTTTGCGGTATCTATTTACAATCAACTACAAATTGCTTGCATACGGAAAAGGTCTCTCTTTAAGGGGACATACCCGTTTGAAATCTCGAAAAGTGAGTACATTTTCTAGATTTTTTTGCAGAGCAACGACTTGATAAAAATTTTCAATTTTTTTACAGTATTAATACGATATTATTAACCACTTAAACAAAAATTGTCAGTTTAAAAAATTTTTTTTTTTTAAGTTATGGAAATGTTTGCAGAGCTCTTCCAAATTTTAGGTGGCTGCATGGTGTGCTTGGAAACGTTCGTAGATCAGATCCGAAATAAAAAAAAACAAGCTTTTTTTTATTAAACATATTAATAGCTAACTGCTATCCAAGCGTTTTTCCAAAATTTTAAAAAATAAAAAAATTGCGGCGTGTTGAAAAAAAATTTCATTTTTTTTAAAAGTCCATTTTTTTTGTTTATAACAAAAAAATGGGAATCGGACTAAAATTCGTTAGCAGATGCGGAATCTTATTAGGAACTCGCATGCAAAATTTGAAGTCAATCCGTCGAACGTTCGAGTTTTCATGCACACCGTGCATGAAAACAAATCTGCAAAAATATTCGAATAATTTTTTTTAAAAAATTCTTTTTAAGTTGAAAATTTTTATTTAAGTACTTAATAATATTGTATTAATACCGTGAAAAAAAGGTTTTTATCAAATCGTTACGCTGCAAAAAAATCTAGAAAATGTACTCATTTTTCGAAGATTCAAACGGGTATGACCTCTTAAGCATCGCTTTTTTTAATTACTTAATGGACACTTTAAACATATTTTCATAGACTAAGACATCTGTTGTTGCGAAAATTTACACTAGTTGCAGAACAAACTTTCTCGTCTGGGTCACATGTAATAAATGCGGCAGTTTCACTGCCTCAGACTGACACATTTCTCAATATTATGCACTATATTTTAACGTTGCACACACAGCAAATTATCGCGATCAAACTTATGCCCGTTTCACATATCGACGTCGAGGACGAATCACGTTTACTCGTCCGACTTTATGCTATTCACTCAATTTAACGAGAGGCGTTACTGTTGCAGGAGTTTCAATTAGTTTCAGTCTCTGAAAATGTTTGTGGAAGAAAAGAGAAACTTATTAATGCGTCACGAAGGCAATTGCGAGCGTCAGTAAATAAAAAAAAAAAAAAAATACAAATAATTGGACGAGATAAATTTGTCCTATATTTTTGCAGCAGTGTGATATAAAATAATACAATATAATTGCACAACAAAAAAAATATCTTTTTACATATTAGGTAATTCAGAACGCCAATGATAATTTATCTTTATGCAGTAGTTTGTTTCACATATATTGTTCCCATTCTTCTAATTTTAAACAAAATCTGCGGAATCGGGGAAATTTTCTATTAAATATTTGATTAAAAATCTTCGATCTGATCTTCTATTGCTAATACTGAAATGTTCTGCGATACATGCATTGATATACCGATTGATTCAGCTGCTTCAATTGATTTAACGTGATTACGCGGCTATTGTGTTCGCGGAGAATGGCACGCGAAGATTTCGGATCGGACGGCGAAAGATCATCTTCGTGGATGAGAAAATTTAATCTCTGTACCAATCGGCTATTCATACTCTATATCCGATTAAATGTTACAACTAGTTCGCATTGATTGCTTTGCGTTCCTGACGTAATTGCCCGTGGGTAGGCACCGAGACTTGAACGAGCGACCGCTCATCGACCTTCTATATCCAACTTTTCGGACTATTTCCTTTCATCTCTCGCCGCGTCCCCGCGAAAGCTCTTTGACAATGAACATATTTTTAGCTCTCTCGGTCATGCGCGTGCGCGTGCATACAAATATGGTTTGAAAATGAAAATCGAAGGAAGTGGATGAGGAGTCGAGCTGTTTTTCAATTCATTGCGAGAATAGAAAGGACGATGGCAAGCTTTTGAATTAGATTATACTTCACATTGAAATGTTTTATCAATGCGGAGAAATTTGTAAAAAATATTACAAAAAAGTTATAATGGTCTCTCAATTTTTTTAGATAAATTCTATCGATATGTTTTACGATTAAGAATACAAAAAAATATTTTATTTAGAAAATGTATCCAAAGATAATTTATTTAAAAATTAGGAGGAAGGGATATGAAACACGAGAGAAATAATTTCTGCGTTTCGTAATATTTTCTTATCATACGAAATAATCTGTATTGAGGATTAACAATTTTGATGAACACGGAAATTAACGTATCGCGTTAATGCACGATTTAGTAAACGGGAATGAAGGGAGAAGCAAATGGATACATTTTGAAGGACTTTTGGTTTCATTGATTTGCCCGTTGGATATTGTTGAACTGTACTGCAGACTTTTGGGCGTTCGTACGAATGCGTTGCATGAATCAAGAAGTGATACATAAACATTACATATGTATACATATATTCATCTGGGATTTTATTCTGAATTAATATCAGATACGTTAACAAAGTGAAAGAGAGACATCTGACGCGCGATGAAGAAAGAGGAAAATATATATTAATTTTTTTGCTTCATGTTACAAGAATATATGATTATATTATACATGTCATATACTGGATGAGGAAAAAGTATCGGATTGGTAAAATATCTCGAAAACAAGGCATTTGAGAAAAAAATGTTATATACGAAAGTTGTAGGGTTTCAACAAATGCATCAAACAGCGATATCTGTTTGACTTTGCAATTATGAAAGAGATTTCAAAGTCAAGTTTAAAATCCTAAATGGAAACTCACATTTTTATTCGATATTCTTGTAGCTTACCTTAAGAGCTTTTCAAAACGCTATAATGAAGTTCCTTTCCATTAAATATTTTCCGAATTATGAAGCTTGAAAGGTACAGTACTGCCAGCATTAGTATTACCCAAACGTGATTTTTACGTGATCTTAACAATGCTATTTAAGGTCATATTAACATTGCTACTTAATGCGCTACTTAAAACCCTACAACTTTAATTTGAAACATTTTTTTCAAGAATATTTTATTTTTTAGATTTCGCCGTTTGACGCATTTATTGAAACCGTACAACTTTTGTATATAACATTTCTTTCTCATTGTCAGATGCCTTGTTTTCGAGATATTTTACCAGTCCGATACACTTTTTCCTCACCCTG